TGTTCCACTCCATATCAAAATATACATTCTCATTTAAGGCAAATATATAACGGCCATCAAATATATACAAATTTACGAATATATGCAAGCACATGCAAATATTTCTCGCATATCCTTATAGCGTGTCATAAATTTCGAGTCAACGCTCCGTTGACAGCGTGACCACATAACTCACTACCAAGATAACTAGCAGAAAAAGTGAATAGCAAAATGTGGATAAAAACCAGCAAAGAATTTTAGTTCGTTTGCGGCACATAGAAGTTTTCGTACCCCGTATATCAACCGCTTTCGGAACTTTTTTATGTTAGTTATCTAGAAAATTGTATTAAAACTTACGCAAATAAAACTTAGTGTGATATTTGTTTCGACCATAGTGGATATATATGTATATTATAACAAAATTATAAACATATAAAATTTTGAGTTTTTTATGGTGAAGTGAAGTCATCTCCAATAAAAAATCTAAAGTCATCGGTAACGAATCTCTAAAAATAGATATTCTTTATTAATATTTCTAAAATAAAACCAACTGTTCTTCGCAGCCGTCTAGAAACAGGAATTACCAAACTAAATACTATATTAGGTTAGATTAGGTAATAGGGCTGATCTTTTTGACTAGTATCACGACGAATCCCACTTGAACAGCTAAGAACGTCGGTTTTAAGTATGAATAAAAAAGCAACCACAAATGTATCGAGGGTCTAATATTAATTCCAGACAATTTCCCTGGTTCGTCAAAGTCATGTTTTGACTAGTCAAAGCTGAATATTAGATGAGAAGTGCCTAATTTCTATTTCGCCTTCCTCCTTATAGCTTAAACAATCCGTCCGACAGAATGTTTAGCCTCATCGCAAGAACACCAAGAGGACAGTGTCCCGTTATAAATAGATTTAGTACCAAAACGCAGAAGGGAAACACCGACTTGTTTCCAAAAATAAGTATCAAGAAATAATTCTTGTGTCCTTACTCTCAATGGAATCTATCTAAACCAAAATTTTGTTTATGGATACTTAACCCTCTATATGATTAATGAATAAACTCTATAAACTCACAATCATGCATTGGGTATAAAACCTCAAATAGTAGAGAGCACTAAAAGACAAAAGTTATGCAGAAGCTATATAAGTTAATGGAATATTTGCATAGCGATGACCAACTAACAGCGCTGGCGAAAAAGTGAAGCAAAGCCAAAAGCGAGTGCCAGCGCATTTCAACCAAGCGCTTCTAGTAGAGACAAGCTTTCTTGCCTCGCTCTCTGCGCGCGATGAAATAAATTCCTGTCATGAGATTTGGCGTGGGCCATAACATATTCAGTGCCACAAGAACTGCTTGCTCATTGTTGACGCTGCTAGACGATTACAAATATCTAACCACAAAGTCACGCTGCAATGGTGGCTCCTGCCTGGCTGCCCGCCTTGCCGCTGTGCCAACGCAGTACGCACTAAACGCGTGGCAACACAACGCTGCGTCTACATTCACACACACACACATACATGAATGTGTTTAGTTGCTGTGGGCGGACGCGCGGTTGTGCTGCGAAAATCCCTCAACGGAAGTGAAATATTTACAATCGCTTTGAAAAAGAGCGAAAACCAAATCAACATCAAAAGTGATATACTGAAGAAAAGTGAATAAAGGAAGGCAAATGCATTGCGGAGAGCAAAAGCGAAATGAAGAAAATTCATAAACATTTTCATTTTTATTACGGAAATTTATAAAAATGAATAAATTGCGTTGACAGTGCCGGAAGTGACCGTTGATGCTGCCATCGCTATTATTGTTATGCGTTGTAGTTGTTTTTGTTGTTGCTATTACTGGTGATAACACAGTTGAGCGAGTGCGCAGCTTGTTAGCGCAAAAGGTTGTGTGAGTGGACATTGTAGTAAATATTTTGGTGGGGAGAATTGCGGTGGGTGCGTGCCTTGAATGCCTTATTATATAGCAATTCATTAAATATGAAGAATCGCATTGTGGTTCATGAATAATGCAAAGTAAGTATTTGTAGACAAGCTTCTGAACAAGCAAGCACTAATATTTGCTCAAATAGACAAGTGTTTGTGTGTACATGCATACTCGTACAAGTGAATTTGTATTAAAATAAATTAAGAGCTCATAAAGTATGAATATTTTCTAAACTTTTTTTTGCACTAGTGTACAAATGAGTGGGTTTTTGGGTACCTTTAATTTTGGTTCCATTCATAATAGCCGCTTGTTATGAATACTAAAAGGGAATTTTCATTATAACTGCAGTAGAATTTAGTTCTAGTAGTATGTTGACATATTTGCATCAATTGGATGTAATTGTGGTTTGGTTGAAACGAAATAATAAAACTGGTAACCATTTTCTGAGAACTTTTCCGAAATATGCTTTTTAGGCAAATTAAGAAAAGAGTTATTTTTAAACACTCTTTCTATCCAGGACATGATTTATAAAATGACCTGTTGATCCAGAAAATAAAGTGTTTTTTTTTCCATTTGTAATAGCTAATGCAAAGTAGTCATCACTTTCGAAAAAAGGAGCTCTTATTAAAGTGTTATGGTCATCATATAGGCAGCGACTTATATGCTTTCTAATTAGATTCTTAGATTAGAACTTTTGCAGTGTCGTATAGTTTAGAATTAGATATAAATTTGGTGAAATTACTATTATGTAACCTATGCAGCGATGTGCATGATCGGAGTATTCTTCTCTCGACTTTTCTGAGTCTTTCCATATATGAAGGAGAGATATTAAACCAAATTGAATATCCATATGAAAGTATTGGTCTTACTGGTGATTGATACATGATAATTTTTAGATATTTTTAGTTTAAATAAAGTGGTTTTCACACTTTGATGGAATCTTCACGAATAAATAAATAATTGTCAGGAATATTTTCCATAATTTTAAGATCATCATTGATTGCTATGTGGCACTCATATAAAAACCTATGTTCTAAATAAAACATATTTTCTCATCAGAATTTCCTAGCTTGTAAATATTCTAGTCGCAAGTAACTTACTGAAAATGCTCCAACTACATTTTGGATATTTTATTTATAAACCCAGAAATTAAAATTTACTCACAACAATTGAAGATTTTTTCAAAAGCTTTTTAGAATTTTTCTCTCTTTTCCTTATAGAAATCATGTTTTAGAAATAAGTCCAAAGATTTGAAAATTTTAAATGTGTTCTTTATATTTATAAATAAGAAATATAAATGTGAAGGATTGGTACTTAAATTGACATTCTGTAGTAGAATTAAATGTCTTGAGCCCAGCGTTGCATGGGTATTTCTGCGACCACATCGATGCGGCATTTCCATTTCAATGTCGTAACCTGAACAAATTCTAACACTTTTTTCAAAAATTATACAAAAAATTAATCTTTTTGCTTCGGAATCATCTTAAATTTATTCAGATCATCGTATGACAATTTTGCGACTTCTCCTAGATCTTGATTCTTAGTCTGCAATTTCCGACTCAGAGGCAAAGCGATAGAGTTAGTGAGTTCCTTTATGTTGCAGGTAATTTGAAATTTGGTATTCAATGTTGCTGTCAAAAATTGAGAAGCCTTTTGTGTGTTCTTTCCACGTTTTGATTATCTCCAAAGTCTCTATATATACCATTATATATATTTTTTAATTTTTTTGGCATTTTTGAAACTTTATCTTTAAGAACATTTTGTTTGGGCATTTGGGCCAGTGAAAAAAGTTTGAATCGCTCTAATAGATTCTAAGGCATTCTTTAAGGCAGCTACATCACCAGCTGCGTAATAGCCAAACCAAAACTAAATAAAAAAAATAGTCTAATTTATTATTTATTTTTTTTATTACTGAGATTGTAATTTTAACTTAAGCAAAAATTTTCTTCTTGAATTGAGATTAAGATTTTAATTAAAGTAAACATTTTCTTCTTGAATCGAGCATACCGCACTTTACTCGCAATGAAATAAGTATTTTTCGGTCAATATTGCTGTCAGTTTATATTAAGAATTATTTTTTCAGTTTTTAGTTTGAAGTGCTTTAAATGCGTGTTTTTTAGTTTTTTTTTTAACTTAAAATACCTTGATTTAAATCGGAGATTATTTTACATATTCGCGTTTCGCTGATTTTAATGGGCTTTGGCAACTTAAGTGGTTGCTTTGAATGCGATTTTGATTGTCTGCTATTGGCTTGGAAACAGAGAATTGAAAAGGCTACAATCATACTTATATAGGCTTTAATCCCTTTCGCCAGAGAACAGATCTTATAAAAGCATATGTAAATGTTCTGATTAAGCTCTTTATTAATAAATTCAACTTTCTGCCAATAATAAAAATATTACACAGGCCGCTAGAATATTATAAATACTCAAAGGAAACTATTCTTGGATGCAACTGCAAAAATGATAATTTGTTTAGCGTATTTCTGACAAACATAAACAGTATTTAAATTCTGACTTCAAATCGTAGACTAAGACAGTCAAATTCTTTCATACGTATTACTTTGCACTGGGTTTGTTTGAATATGTTTTAAATGATACCCTGCTTTATCAAAAATAACATAATATAAATGAAGGGTGTTGTAACTTTCTTAATCGAATTTTGTAAATATAACTAATTATTCGAAACAATCTACCTGAAATGGTATGTAATATGCGTATGAATTAATCATTCGAAACGCTTTTTACTTTAAGATGTTGAACCTTATAAAAACAATTGTTGATATAACAACATACTTTCTTAGAAAGGAGCTTGGCTGCACTACACAAATATACATATATGTATATTTATATGACTGGTAAAAGTTTTTATGACCAGGTGGGAGTTCCATTATTACAAAGATTTGCTGCGTGTAAGGTGCTGTGGGCGTGAATAAAGTTTGTCACAGTAAATCCATAAATTACAAGGCAATAAAAATTGCTTTTGCAAACACCTCCAACCTCATTAGGGATAAACACGTCTCAAGACACGCATACATATTTATTATATTCAATTTGTGCGTGCTTTATAACTTATCTACGCTTTTTTCTCCACTACAGACATCGCATAACAATTGCAACTGATTATTTGGAATGCGAAAATAAATTGTTGCATGCATATCCACGAATTTCTCAGCAAAAAACTCTCAACTGATGCGGAGTTTGGAAAAAAACCCAGATAGATATATACGTATGTGTGTGCGAAATTGCATAACAAACTCATTTATCAAATCAGAAGGATAGTGCGAACACACAAAAAAAACGCAAACTGAACAAGAAATACAAATAAGATTACAAGCCGAGGCGAACTATTCAATACAATGCAAATAAAAAGCAACTAAAGTACTTGTGTTCGCTACAAATGATATTAATGCCACAAAGCAGCAAGTGAGCGAGTTAGCGGAGTGGAACGAGCGCACAATAAACGAGCAAATTGGGAGATGACAGAAAAACGCAAGGGCAAGGCAAGCATCTGAAGTACTGCTTCGTTTTGAGCAGGAAAACAAAAACGCCAAAAAAATTGTGAGCATAGCGATTTTCCCATGAAAAATGATGTTTATATGAAATTATGGTGAAAAACATGAAATTCGAGTTATTGCATACGAGCAAAAGCGCCACATTCAATGCAATAACAATACATTATTAGGTCAAATAAAAGCCAAAGGAAGCAGAAAAAGCACTGGAAAGAAGAAGCGCTACAAAGCAACAGATATGGTTGCAGAAGTCATAGGAGCGAAGTGAAAACCGTGAGATAGAAGAAAGACGCTATGAAAAAATGTTAATGTAATAAGTGTAACATAGTGAAAAGAGAGAGAGAGCACAACAGAAAGAAGCAAAGTAACGACAGCGCCAAAACAATCCTGGCGACATACAGACATTACTGCCAAATCGAAAGCTTTGGCCACAAAAAGTAGAAGACTGCCGCTCTAACAGAATAACAAAGCTGGAAGAGGGTGTTGGAAAAGAAAAGGCGAATCTGTACCAAAAACAGAAAACATTATTGTTACGACGAGCAATACGAATACAAATACCGTATAGTGGGCGTGGCAAAAGTAGGTTACACTCGAGCTACATAAGAGCAACAGCAGTTCTGTACAATTTATCAAAGCGGCAGTCTATTTCATTCATAAAAGCATAAGAAAACATATAAACACATACATTCATTATAAAAAGCACCGTTATAACGGCGCGGCAATGCAAAATTTATGCGCCACACTTATCGGCCGTACTGCTTGCGACGACTTCAGTTCAAAAACACATTAACCCTAATGAGTGAGCGTATCAGCGCACAAGGCGAGAACAAACTATTACAACAACAAGAAGTGTGAAATCTTACGGCATTGCACACGCTTATCAGCGGGTGTCTACTTGGCTGCTTTGGTGTGTGGGTGCCACCGACGTGCTGGTAGTTGGTGCTAGTGTCGTTGCTGCGCCAACGTTTCTTCGCGAACTTTACATAGACAAATGTCACCGATATTAATGCCAATGCACATGCTGGAAATTCGGATAATACTACTTTGCCTGCCATCGATACTACTGGCGACGACGCTGGAGCCAGGTGAGTACGAACGTAAAAATAGCGAAAATTTTGTAGATTAGTAAATTAGTTTATGACAGAAAGTGCATTTTAAATCAATCAAATGAAACATAAGAGCCTTTATATATTCGCCAAATTTTTTAGAGAGTAGTGAATCGAACACAAAATTAGAATAAGTGCAATAAACTGACTTAATCGTGTATATATAATAACAAGAGGTGCTTATATTAAAATAGCAAACTACTTCGGAAAGGCAAATATACTCATCCTACTCACAATAGAATTTAGAACGAACTTCTTAATTAGCACACCTAGCGTGATCACTTAAACAAAGGTGATATTTGGGATTTTTTTCTAAAGAAAATTGCTTCATGAAAGATTTTAAAGTTTTTATTATATTTATACGCATAAAATTAATAAGCTCAATATATTTAAATAAAATGAAACTTAATTTTTAGTGAGTTATTCTCTATTTTCCAAGTTACTTAAAAAGTTCTAAACTGCTGCAGTAATTGTGGCCTTCACTATGATTTAAAACAAAAAAATAAATAAAATAAAGACAAGAAAATTCACAAATAAAAAGGATTCCATAAACGAACTTGATTTTGGAATGACTCGTCCACCATACATGATAGCTATATCGTTGTTATTGTATAAAGCCATGTGAAGATATTTTCAGAAATAAAAAAATTATCCATACAAACACTTGTCTTTTATCGTTTAGTTTATATAACAATCGGACTACTGTGCATACATATTTTCCTTTTGTTTTGAAAAAGGGTCGTGTGCAAAATTGCAGACCAATGTCTCAAAAATTGAGAGACTAGTTCACGTATATACAAACAAATGGACAGAAAGACGAACATTACTAAATGGGCTCAGCTTATCACGCTGATCATTTATATATATACTTTATAGGGTATCCGTCGTTTCCTTTTGGGTGGCAACCTTAAGATACGCTGTTCAGGGTATACAAATTTAAATGAACTTGAAAAAGTGTTAAATATTGCTAAAAAAATTAAATGTTATTTGGCCGGCCAAAATTAAATTTTCCATACAAGCGCAAAACATAATAATTTTAATAATTTTTTCATCCATATCTGCCTCTATATATATTTAGGTGCTTCAATTCACAAAGAAGTTAATTCGAGTATGGTAATATTTCTGCCGTACGCATCAAATTTGCGTGGAAATATATATGTTTAAAACTAGAAATTCTCATCTAAAATCCATTTATATTGAAACATGTCTTATTTCTACCAATTAGAGGATTATTTTCTAATTGACTATTATTTATATTAAACCAATCATTTTTGAACTAGTATAAAACTAGTCAAGTTTCTAAACGAAATCTGACAATTGTCGCCTCATGTTCCACAACACTTAAAAACCTGCTACCTATAAAATCGGCTAATTAATTAAACTTTTGGGTTATGCTCTTACAAACGTTATTGGCTCTCTTTTGCGTGATTCATTTTTATTTTATAATGACATAAAATATAAATTTGTATATTCTTCCAACTTTTTAAGCTTTAAGCTTTGCCAACAAATTCCTACGATAGTAAATATCCAAATTTTGTATTCCACAGCTGTGTAATTAAATTCCAGCGCAAGCTTTATTCAACTTATTAGGTTACCAGCAATTAAGCTCAAAGTGATCATTATTTCTGAATTATCAGAGTTCACTCAAGGTAATTAAATGTTAGATATACGTAAAACTAGCAATGGCGCAAATGTAAATTAAAAGGTTATTATATTTTTCTATAGAGTTTGAAATTTAAGCTAAAAATTGCTCTTAAAAAAACCTATAGTGGTACGTGAATGGTGGTGGAATGGAAATATTCGAAATCACACTCCCACCTTCATCGTCTATAACCAATAGTGCTATATATACTTGTAACCTCAACGGCTTTGCTTACATAACTTTTTTAAGGCATGCTGCATACCAAAGTCGAACACAACAACGTCTAACATTTTAAAACGCCATTATCAACTTGAGCAGACAATTTCTACTCTTACATTCCTTTAGCTAAACAGATTTCTTATACTAGGTTGGCTTAATGTTCTGTAGTTGACTCTAGCCTTCAAAAGACAAACATATACGTTTCACAGTTGGCGGTTGTTTTATTTGAGAATGAAAGCATTGAAATTTTGCAAGAAAGGGGCACAGAAAAGAATTCCGTGTGTCGATCACTTTTTTATAAGGAAACAAGTAAGGAAAGGCTAAGTTCGGATGTAACCGAACATTTTATACTCTCGCAAAGTCAAATAGTATACTCGTTTGAGATTTCTTTGTGGATTGACTGATATTTTCGGTAGAAGGTCAACTATAGGCACTGGGGTCCACATATTTAGCACTTAGGGGCTTGAACAGTTTTGGTTCGATTTAGACAATTTTTGGTCACAAGGTGGAATACTTTAATTGCATTATTCACGCAAAGTTTTACCCCGATATAATCATTGTTGCTTGATATGCATAGTGGAAAGTGAAAGAATCAAGTGGTATTTAAAATGGTGTCATATGGAAAATAGGCGTGGTTGTAATCCGATTTCGCCCATTTTCGCACTATGACATAGAAACATGAAAAAAACGTTACGCACCGAATTTGGTTGAAATCGGTTAAGCAGATCTCAAGATATGGGTTTTCACCTAAAAGTGGGCTGTGCCACACCCACTGTCTAATTTTGAACGCGGTTCCTATAACGTCATCTTATACCATCTCAGAGATAAAATTTAATGTCTCTGGCGTGTTTAGTGCTTGATTTATCGCGCTTTTAGTAGTTTTTAACAGTACCGTTATATGGGGAGTGGGCGGAGTTGCCACCCGATTTCAACTATTTTCACACCGTCAATAGAAGTGCTAAAAACATTTGCTTCCAGTGAATTTTGTTATTATAGCATTAGCGGTTTAGGAGATATGCACATTAAACCTATTAGAGGCGGGACCACGCCCACTTTTTAAAAAAAAAATTTAACTGCAGATGCCCCTCCCTAATGTGATCCTGTGTACCAAATAACAGTCTTGTATCTTATTGCGGAGCTTAGTTATGGCAAGTTATTTGTTTTTGATTAATGGCGTTTTGTGGGCGTGGCAGTGGTCCGATTACGCCCATCTGCAATACCAACCGTCTCACGGTACCATGAAACATGTCTACCAAGTTTCATAAAGATATCTCAATTTTTACTCAAGTTAGAGCTTGCACGGACGGACGGACAGACGGACGGACGGACAGACAGTCACCCGGATTTCAACTCGTCTCTTCATCCTGATCATTTATATATATATAACCCTATATCTAACTCGATTAATTTTAGGTGATACAAACAACCGTTAGGTGAACAAAACTATTATACTCTGTAGCAACAGGTTGCGAGAGTATAAAAAATGCTGTTAATTCCAAAAAGTTGTTTGATAAGTCTCAAAGCATTGTGTTGAAAAGATCGTCCGTGAGTTTAAAAGTTCTCTGAAGGGTCTGAATTTGTGAAAAAGGGTAAAGTTCATATTTCTTGTTATTATCATTAAAACATGAAAAAAATTATGAACATAATATCCACTGAAAAGGAATTTAGCGATAATGGAGAAATAGTCGTCCAAGAGGAGCAAAGAACACATAGTACTACAAAACCTTAGTAACAATAGGTTTTCTTTGAAAGTATATGAGCTTCTCAGCCTACCTCGCAAACATTTTCTGTTTCTTAAGATCGATATATCCAAAGTATTTATATATAACGAGCTGATACCCGCGACTTCGTCTGAGTTGTTGCAAATCCTTGAATAATCTCTCCAAAATTCGTGCAATTCATATTTAGTCCGTGTCAATTTCAATACAAATGATGCATAATCGTTCGTAAAACTATTACCTATAGCTGAAACCCGCGACTTTGTCCGAGTTAGAACTATCCAATTTTTATGAATAAATTATGATTTAATAGTTTAAATGAACAATTAACGATATGTACTACCTTGTAATAATAAAGAAAAATTCTATGTGTATTCATCAATGGTACGCATTTTGTTTTTTATTATGAATAAATTAAACAATTAAGTATAAGTTAAAACGTGTTTTTAGAGACACGTATTGTTTTTAAAAAAGTTAAAAAAATGGTTTTTTTGTAGCTCATATAATTTTTTTAATTACACAACTTTAATAATCTATACAATTTACAAAATAAAATATAAATTGTTTCACTTTCAATTAAATCTATATGCTATTTAAATAAAAACATAAAAACAATAAAAATAAAAACAAATAGATAGGATATATATATATATATAAACTTATGAAAACTTCAAAAATGATTATAATAAACTTATTATAATGCCTCCTTATAAACAATATTAGGTGTACAGTTATCATTTGTTAACATCCTTGACTCAAATCAATACCAGTTTTCTTTAAACTTTGACCTTGCGATTTATTAATTGTCATTGCAAAGCTAACATTAATTGGAAATTGTAATCTTTTGAATTGAAATGGATAATTTGATGGAATGATAGGTATTCTAGGTATAAATACTGTTTCGCCTTTACCATAACCAGTCATAACTACTGCTTCGATGATATTTTTTTGTAGAGAAATTACTCGTAATCTCGTTCCATTGCAGAGTTTTGGTGGATTTAAATTTCGCAGTAGCATAATAGGAATACCAATTTTTAAATCTATTTGATGTTGTGGAAGACCAGGTACGTTTATGCTATTTAAAAATTCTACCGGGTAATGCACGGCTTGTTCTGATTGACATATTGTGTTTATAGATAAATATGTTATTGAATTGCCAGGAATCTTTTCCATTATAAGCGTATTAAGTAACGATACTCGATCATTTCTTGGTGCTAATATAGTTTTATTTACCTTGCCATAGACTATTACGTCCAGTAGTTTTTCTTATTTGATCATTTCTAAGGCGTCGTGATCTAGATTGATGATCTGACTCTTGATTTCGTGTATTTGCATGTCGTATACGATCGTCTTGTAGTCGATGTTCTCTTGATTCATCTGACTCTTGCATTCGAGTTATT